AGTTTTTTGAAAATTCACACTGGCAAGTGTTTTTTCGTTCGATAGCTAGTACTTCCATGCTAACAGAAAAATAGGGAACAAATAAGTTAAAAATGACTTTTTTAATAACCGAATCTCGAGTTTACTGGTTGCGCATCATGCAAAGTAAACTATTAGACGTTGTGTTGCATCGTCGATAATACTTAAAAATATTTCAGGAAACAGTTGTTCTGAAAAAACCCTTTGGCCTGCGAATCAGTAAAAGGGACCTTCGAGTAAATTAAATTTTCCTTGATATCAAAAACCTTTGCCTCAATTCATTACATTAATGAAAATTTCTCAATATTATTACAACTTCCTAATTAACTGCGCATTTTATGCCTTTTTGCTGCTACAGCCAACAAAAACGCATACTGTCGAGAGGTTGTCTGTGTGTGCACGTGTGTGGGTGTTTGTGCGTGTGTGTTCGAAAGAGAGTGAATTTTGCCGCCCACTTTCATCTCAGCAACTAGAAAAGCTGGAAGGATGAAATTTTGGGTGAATGTTCCTATCCCGTGTGTCACCCTCCCGTTTTAAGATCTTCCCCCATACGCACCTAGACTCCTCGCACAGACCCTTGAAAAAAATATCAAATTTCATTGGCGTGGGACGATTTCGCTAACCAGCCAAAGTACAAAACCGAAATTTTGCAGGGATATTCTCTGTGCATGGGCGAGCTAAAGATTCCAAATTCAGCTGTCGCGCACTCTTGTGCAGCTCTTGCGATCACGTCAAAGTTTGAGACTTGCTATTATGCTAACTCGAAAACTTGTTGGAAAACAGTAACTAAAATTTTGTCAGCATGTACGTCGCCCACACGGGAAATCGTGTATCTAAAATGAGTGCCGATTTGCACTTACGCCACGATTTAGGGCTTTTCAAAGATATTTGTAGCGAAGTGGATATTTCGCTTATCGGATAAGATGCGAGACTGAAAATTCGCTGAGATTTTCTACTTTCGAGTGCTGTCTTAATTCTGTTTGAAGGTGAAATTCCCCACAGGTGGACATGAGAAATACTCGACTTTACCAGAAAATCAGAAACGAGTGCGTTTTGCATACTTGGATTTCTTGAAAAGCGACCGCTCTAGCAACATTTTCACGTTTTAGTGAACTGAAAATTTGCACTTTTCATTTCTTTAAAGAATTTGCATTTTTCGTTTTTTCGAAAATCGCGCATTTGCTGAAGAAACGACTGGGCTTTCCGGTAATCATGTGCCGGAGGTCTATGCGGCTCTATGATGCACCACCTTCATCCCAACTGACGCCCCAGCCTGAGTTTTTTACTGATTTCTCCAGTTTGTCATCACTGGCGTTATTAGCATTATTACCTCAATCTGATTCGTGTTAATTATTGCTTGGTTGAAGCGATAGATTTTTTTGCTTCAGTCCACACACTCTATCATTTGCCTTAAAATAGTCAAGGATTTCAGCTGTCTTAAAGATGGCTTCGATAGATCGGAACTAAAGCAGCATCTCTGTTCAAAATTATCTTACGTTTGCTATGATTTGTTGAAATTGACATTTTTTCGTTATCTTTGACTCAAAAATCATGTTTTAAGCATAAATTATAGGTTTCTGACTCCTCATTGCTGTTATTTTGTTCAGGTAATGCAAACATTCAGACTTCTGCAGCTTACCTCCTCACTTCTTCCTGTAAACATTTAATTTATGGCTTCTGACACCTTTTCGTTTTGTTCCATGAAAATAGCGCTTTTTGACCAAAAAATTGAGATATTTTCCCATTTATTCCACTCTAAAAAATCACTTGCACTCAAAGGGCTGAATTGAGCGCGTGAAGTGATTTTGTTTTTAGGTGACACGCGTTGAGCCGCGAGGGGCTTCGATTGGACGAGTGGGCGTCGGTGATAAAATCGTCGCAATTAACGGCGTTAAGCTAAACAATATTCACGAGCTGAACGAACAGCTTGCTAAGCCGGCCAAAGTATTAAAGCATCCACATAAATTAAAACACGAAATTCTTGATGAATTTTCAAATTTTTTTTCAAAACTAGGTATTGTCCAAACGAAAGTTTAGCTTATGATCGAGACACAGAATGTTGCATTGACCGGTAGTGCTATTTGCTTGTTTCAATCCTACTGCATTTGAACTTCGTGGTAGTTCAAGTTGGTGCTAGTTTGTTTAGTATATCTGATGCTCAAGTTTGCTTCGGCTTGCTTATCAAGCAATTCAGATAACTTCAGCCTGTCCTTCTTAACTCTTGCATCTTCTGTTTTCATAAAAGTACAATTGTCAGGCACCGCTTCCTGTGACTTTTTTAAAAAGCAAAATGGAAAAAGAATCTGAGAGTGCCCAAGTAACAAACCATTGGACTCAGCTGGCCTAAGCGATACGTCATGGGCTAAAATCCGTCTACTTGAAAACAAGGTTTTCTTGCAGCTATTTCCAATCTTCAGACCTGTGAACAAGCAAAACCAGCAACAGTAGCTAACTGTACATTTCACCTGATAATTCATTTGGGAAGTGTTTTTTTCGAATGATACACTGTTTGTCTTCATCTCTTTCTTAGAAAGTTAAATGCCACAACAGAATGACCGGAATTAAACTCGGGATATTTCAAAATTGACGATCAGAAAACTACTTCAAGTCTAAAATTCAGGAAGCAAGTGTTACGCTTAATCGGGCTGGGTTTTCTTGCTGCAAGCACGCGTGCACAACCGTCGAAACGCTGACAATCGAAAAGGGTAGCTCGATGAAGGTTATGCGAGCCGTTGAATTGTACCGGGTATGCATAAATAATGTGCACACTATTACTCGAAGGTGAATAGGGGCAGGTGTATTATTTTTGGAGGGGTTTGAAATAGCGATTTTTTTTTTGGCCAAAATTATTAGTATTTCAACATTATATTGTGCTTTGTTTTCTATTACACCTTTTCAGAAATAGCCATAAAATTTCTATGAAAATTTTTCAGTTGTTCCTCTTGAAAAATATCTAAAATTGCCTTTTTGCTGACAGAATTGCTTGAGCTCTCTTCACGGCTAGACATGTTAACTCAAATTATCATCAGCACAACTGAACAAAAAAAAGTTTGCTTTTCTGGGTAGTGGATTTGGGGTTATGTTACTCATGATTTTTTTAATGGCAAACAGCACTACGAATCATCCTACCTTTTTGAATACACGCCACGATGTTTTTTTAGTTTTCATATAAGTCAATTTAAGCTTATTTGGTCGATTTAAGTACAAAAAATGCGACAATCTGTTCAAGAATACTTTTAAGGTACAAATTCGACTGGAGCCATTCCCGGATATGGATTTGGGACAAGAACTTGGCTTATCTGTGAAATATGACAACAAAGAGCGACTGCAAGTGGCTAGTGTGGTACCAGGGACTTTGGCATCGGTACACTTGCGTCCGGGCGATATAATTAGGTTAAGAAATAATAACTTACCAAAAAAAGTGCTTTGACTGCTGATGAGATGTTTTCCACAGACTCAGTT